TGAAGGGTTTATCCAGGGGGATCCGGGCTGTCCATCCTGCGGGACCCAGCGGGTCCCTCACAAGGAATGCGGGAGATCTGTCGCAGGGGGATGCGGGGTGGGGGGGGGTCTGACCTGGGGAGGTGTGCGGGCTCCATCCCGGGGCATCCCGGGCTCCATCCCAAGGGATCCAGGCTCCGTCCTGAGCGATCCATGTTTCGCACGGCTGCCGTGTCCCGCAGGAGCAGCAGCAGCGGGAGCAGGAGGCGGCCGAGCGGGAGCGCGGGGGGCGCACCGGGGTCAGCGGGACGGCGGCCGTGAGTGCCGGGACCGGCTCCCTCCCTGTCCCCGGGTCACAGGGCCACTGTCCCTGCCGGGGTGGCACCGAGCTGCGCCGCAGCCCGCTGACCCCCGCTCCCGCAGGAAGCCGCCATCCTGGTCTCCCAGCGCACGCAGAACCCCCGGGAATTCTTCCGGCAGCGGGAGCGCTCGGGGTCCACATCCGCATCCCCCCTGCCCGGCAGCACCCCCGGTAGGTGCCAGGGAAGGGTTGGGGGGGCACGGGGGGCTCTGGGGGTCTCTGCTGAGCCCTCACCCCCGCCAGGTGCCCGCCGGCCCTTCCTGCGGTACCAGCGCAGCCTGACGGAATCCGCCTTCATCTTCCGCCGGCCGGAGCCCCCCCAGACCCCCCAGCCCGGCGCCTCCAGGGGGGCACCGCCCCCCAGCCCCCGCCGGCCGCCGCCGCCTCTGCCCCCCGGCCCCGCGGGGACAGGGACAGCCCAGCGTGCCACCGGCGGGACCCCCGCCAGCCCCGTGGGGACAGGGACCCCACAATGCGGCACCCTGGGGACCCCCTCCAGCCCAGCCCGAGCAGGGTCCCCCCATGCCAGCAGCCCCGTGGGGACGGGGACCCCTCCCCCTGTCCCCCCAGGGAGCCCCCCCAGCCCCCAATGTGCCACCGCGGGCACCCCCTCCAGCCCCGTGGGGACGGGGACCCCTCCCTCCGCCACCCTGGGGACCCCCAGTTTTGCCAGCACCAGTTCAGGGTCCCCCCCTGCCATGTCTGTGCCCCCTCCCAGCCCCCCCCGGATAGGGGTCCCCCCTGTCCCCTCTGGGCCGGGGTCTTCTGAAAGCACTTCTGGGGTAGAGCCCCTCCCTCCTTCCAGCACTCCCGGCTTGGGGTGTCCCCCCAGCCCCCCCCCGGATAAAGGGGGGTCCCCCCCGGACACTCCCCCCCTCCCCAGCCCCCCAGCATGGGAATCTTTGGGGCCACTCCTTGAGGATGTCCCCAGCCCGCGGGAGGGGTCCCCAATCCCCCCGGCCGGCCCCCCCCTGCACAGCCCCAGTCCCCCCCGCCCCGTGCAGGATTTGGGGCGCAACGGAATCGGGGGGCACGAGTTTGAGGGGGGCTGGGAGACCCCCTGGGAGCCGGGACCACCCCCTGGGCAGGTACGGGAGAGGCTGGGGGAGATGGGGGTGGGCCGAGATGGGATTTTGGGGT